AGCAAAAGGAGTCTTGTGGAGACTATGTTTAACCTGGTGAATTGAGTCATCGGGACAGGGTTTCACTGGAGTGATGGGGTCACGAACTTGGTGTTCCATCGGGATCACGTTGTGGTGTGTGGGGAGGAATGTGTGACCTCAAAAATTTGGCTGATTTAAAAAATTTGGCTGATGATGAAATCATGGTAGGAAGTTACATCATAGGATCAAAAGAGTAGTATTACATTATGATATGATGCAATTCAATGGGGATATTTCCCTCTTATCATACAGTACTGTTAAAACTGTCCATGGATACCCACAACTGGAAGTCTGAAATCTCCAAATACTTGTTCGAGATTAAAAAGGAAACCAATCTGGGCACTGTCTATTTTCAAGCAATTGTTTTATGATCGGACCTGAATCGAGCACAGATCTACTAATACTGGTGTCATCACATGTCACTTGACAAGGGAAGCCTACAAATGTAGTTTTAACACGTCTACCAAAAATTGGCTGATATACAAATGTGTAGCATCAGATGTACCAGAGTGATAAGATGGTCTTTTACCAGTCTTTGGGGGCAAAAAAAAACTTATTTTCTTCCCAGTGCCTGTGTATCTGTATCGGTATAGCCGGTATAACCGCCCTTTGGCGTAACACACCAGCTTTGCAGGCACGCGGCGCGGGCAGCTAGCTATATCACACCGAATGACTTGTTACACTCAATCTTTGCACATTTGATTGCAGGAGTTGTTTAAAGCTTTCTAGTGATGATGCCCCAACTTTGCTTGGTGGCAACGAGTTCCACTCTACAATAGTTCTGGGGAAATACGAGTTTCTGTGGCCTCATACCTGCTACAACTGTTGTACAATCTGGGATTCCCCGGTTCCTCCTACTCTCCAAGCAGAGGTTTGGGCTTATTTTTGGTTTGTTTTTAGCATTTTTATCAGGCTCTCTTGTACTGGTATCTTTTTTTTACACCTTCGGGTTGCAAATGGTAGTACTAGTATATGAATGAAGACCTTATTGTACCTAAATACCCACTGGGTTCAGTACAGGTCACAGGAAAGATGTCACAGTTTGCAATGAATATATACAATGTACAAGCTAGTGCTAATTCTATGTACTATGGACATATAGTCTAATAATTATGATAATTTGGCTTCTTCTCACTTCTTCAGTAATGATGTAGATATAAGTACAGATGTGTTTTATAATCGAAGGTTTGTATAAACTGTCTGCCAAATGGATACCGCCCTGCCAATTTGATACTGTCTTTGCAGCCACCAAAAGATCTGCTTGGAGATTGATTAAGTTGCACCATCTGCCTTGTACTTCACTCTACACTTCATGATAACAGATCTCATGGCCACAGATAACAGTGAGATTACATCAGTACTTTCATCACACACACACAAAAAAACACCTTGTCAGAATCAAAAATTTATTTCCACACTTGAACCTAACAGGGATAGGACACGGTTTGCAAACATGTTCCATTAGATGGGCGTCTGGCTCGTTAAAGTCACTACCGATACATGACAGGATTCTAACACAGCTGACTGGGAACATCTGGGCAGGGAGGCAGCATACAATCATGGCTGTGGTTTCTTACAGGGTAAGGCCACACCAAGTTAATTTGTTGGTTCTTAGATTCGCCTCTTCATTTCTTTTCTGATTTGCAAAAAAAAAAAAAAATTCTGGTTCTGAATCAACTCAATGCTCACATTTTGCCCCACACAGTTGAGAAAAGTCCCGTCCTAGTTCTACAGTTTTTCCATCTATCAATGCAGTGGTTTCATTAAAAGTTCAAAATTCAATGTTTTATTAACACAGCCTTTTGTGTTAGGTTCATGGCTTCTATCGTAGCATTTGGGGCTATAAATTATAATATGATGCCTAGACCTGTTTTTTTTGCTGTCATTTCATATTTCTAAGACAAAATCCGAGAACCAACAAATTAGATTGGTGTGGCCTAAGAAAAAAATTACTTCACAACAGACAACATCTATTACAGCCAATCCTAGTCAATAGTGATATCTGAAATCATTATAAATCTTGAACCAGAAAAACATGAGGTTCACCACAGTCTGGAGTTATTGGGTAATTATAGCTGTCATGATAGATTATTTACATTTGCTTCCATGGCAGAGTCACTCAAGCGATGGCTCCTAATGCTGACTAATGTCCTACCCATCTTATCTGCATCATTTCTGTCCAAACTGTCATCAAATTGTTCAAGGACTATACATATAGCTGTAGCTGTGGCAGATACTTTTGCGTTACAGCTACAATTACAATTTCTCATAAAGTCTCTGTCATTTTCTTGCGTCTCCTACCTTTTGTGAAAGCTAGTGATTCTTCTCTTTCTGCGGCTGTACGCACGGAAACATGCACGAGAACAACTTGGACCGCTTCTTCTTCTTCTTCTGTTTCTCCTGTGGTGTGGTGCTGGGTTCGTCCTCCCGTGTAGGCTCCGGAGTCTCGATCAGAGGCTCCTCTTCCTCGACTTTAGGAATTTTTACCGGAGCCGTCTCCGCTTGTGTTGTGAGCGGAGTGGTTTCGGTGGCCCGTGCGGGTTGCGCTTCGGTGTCAGGTCCCTCCTCTGCTGGCTCATCCACGCCGTCTATGTACGGGATATCATCCGGAAGAGTGGCCGCGTTCCCGATAACGATCGCCTTCTCCTGCGGTTTCGGCTGAGCGCGCGCCTCTTCCTCCGGGATGGCGGCATCTGCGGGCGGGGGAGGGGTGTAGTTTGGGACTTCGGTCGGCTCCTCTTCCTCTTCTCCCGCGTTCCCCTGGCTGCCGGGCGGCTCGTTTGGAACTGTCACTTCTACTTCGACCTCATCCTCCGAGGTTTGGTTTGCTGGTGGCGCGTCGCTTGTTGGCAAATTTGACTGGTTATCGGGTGACATTGATGTAGAAGTGTCCGCGACAGCATCATCGTCAAATACCGGGGCAGTCGCGTCATCCACCGCCTCCTGTTTACTGGCAGGTTGTTCGGTAGCAGGTTTTTGTTTTGCCGGTTTGTTTCCCATGTCGGCTGTACTCTCCACCTCCTCTGACAGGTGCCTGGGGAGCGCGATGGCGATGGAGTCGCCCTCTTCGGCGTTCAGAAGCAGGTCTTCCTCGCTAACTGCCTCCGTCGTGTCATCTTCTGATTCTGGCTTCTCCGGCGTGTCTGGGAAGGTCTCTGCCTCGGCTGCTGATGGGATGACGGTGGCGAGTTCTACGGCCGGAGATGTCGCGTCTGTATCTGTGGTGTCGCTCACTTGGTCCGGTTCTGCTTCGGCTCTGCCCGGATTTTCAGCAGCACTTGTGGCCGGCGGCGCGTCCTGCTCTTCTGTGTCCTGTTGGGCTGGAACCTCACCACGATCGATCTGTGTTACCTCTGTGCTACAGGATTCGGGCGGCGCTGGTATGTTACTCTCTTCGCAGCTCTCCTCCGCGCCAACTCTTGACCCGGCTGAATGTTCCTCCTCTGTTGATTTTGGCTCGGTCTCGGCGGCTCCCGTGTCGTTGACATTGGCGTTGGTTTGTGGAGAACGGTCCCCTCCGTCTGAACTCATGTCCCCGGGTGTTTCCGCGCCTTGCACCTCGGCGGCGGCTTCCATATCCTCCCCAACCTCTGCCTCTTTCTCCGCGACATGCGAAATCGCCGTGTCAACATCCCGGCTATCTTTGGTCCCGCGGCTGCCACTTGAGCTGACTTGCCCGGTTCCCGCGTCGCTGTTACGGCTGGTCGGCACTTCAGGAATGTCTCGGCCCGGCGGCGGCGAGTCGGCGGCTGCAGGTGTGGGGGGCGGGCTCTCCTCCGGGGCTGGCGTGGCGTCTTCACTCTCCATCGCTGCCGCAAACTTCAGGATAGCCTCGAACGAGCCGGGCGAGTCTTCTTCAAGATCAAGTTCGACTTTGACTCCGCCCTCAGCCGCGGGGGACAGAGTTTCTGCCGCCTGCTCCACGGTCTCCTGTAGCTGAGCCAGGATGCTGTAGTAGGAGTCCTCGCCCTCCCCCTCCTCGGGACCGTTAGTTGCCAAGGCACCTGTCGCAGCACCACCTGTCGGACTTTGGACAGCCGCGGCCACGTCACCCGCGCCGTCCACCCCCGCAGCCATTTTTGATTTATCGTCCATTTCCGTCGTTTCTCGCTTCGAGAGGACTTCATCCACCTTTTTCTCGTCCTCCTCGGGCATGTACTCCCCTAGCCGGCGGTAGACCAGCAGCTTGGACTCTTTGCTCTTCTTGTTTCTCCGCCGTTTCTGGTCCGACCCCGCCTTGTCCTGCTGGTCCGGCTCCCCGGCCGGCGTGGCTGCCTCCCCCGGGACAGGTGCACCCTCCTCCCCGCCGGCTGCAGGGCCCGTGTGCCCCCGCCGTCTGACCCGGTACCGTTACGGTCCCTCCCCGACTCCCGCCCCGCTCCGTCTGGCGTCTGCACGCCGCCGTCCTGAACCGGGGCTGCGGCACCTTTACCTGGGCTTACTTCCTGTCCCTTTGCAGCGGTGGCACCAGCTTTGTCCCTCCTGCGCCGCCCCTTTGCGGCACTGCTACCAGCTGTTGCCGCGCCCTCTCCCAAATCATCCTCAGGACGGCCACCCTGCTTGTCGCCCGCCTTTTCCGCCGGTTTCTGTCCCTTTTTCCGGCTTCTCCTGTTTTTCTTGTCCCGTCCCTGTCCCTGCGTGCCGGCGGATTGTTCGGGCTGACCCATTTCTGTCCGCTCCTGTTGACGGAAGATCCGTGCGAACCGCGTCTGTTTGCGCGCAGAACGAGCCAGCAGCGCGCAGCCGATCCTGTATAACGTGTGTAGAAAAGCTACTATTGAACAGCTCTTCTGACAGCCGACAGAGCCGAACCACTTGTCGCGATCCCAGATTGTCGCGACTCGCTCTGATGAGCAGCAGGCCGGCAGGATATTGCATAATCGATCGGCTGGCGGAACTTTAACCTTTAGCCCGTTCCGGACACACACAACTGTGGCCGCCGGTTATGTTCACGGTAGCAAAAGTTCACGGTCTGAGAAAAATGAACATGTTCACGGAACTATATACGTATTCACAGGAGCAGGAAAAAGAAAGTCCGGGAATTATTACCGCAATGACAAGTTCACGGTGCAGAAGTGGCAGTGAAAACTGTGAACATAACAGTGCAGTGAAAAAAAATCTGGAATTACAGTAGTGGGCCGTGACGGTAGTGAACTTTAAACATCGACAAAACAAAGCCCACTGCCGGGACGACAGCTTGTCATTTTAACGTTCCATGAGTTGAGATGATTTACCGTAAAAGATTCCAGAAATACAATAATTATTGTACACGTGCAGGGTACAAATGTTTTGTGTTTGTGTGGAGTTAATTGGGCCTTATCGATTTTCTACAGAAAATGGAGCAGCAAGTGGTAAACAGAAGAGCAAAAATTCAGCATTCAATTAATCTCCAAGCAGATCATACGGTGGTAAGGCTGTATCCATTGGCCAGAGGAGTGTCTGTTAGAATAGAGTAATGGATACAGCTCAGGCCAATGGATACTGCCTTTCCACCGTATGATCTGCTTGGAGATTACATTCCATACCAGTTGGTTCTGTATGAATGGTACAGCGTCTATGTTTGCTATCATAAGAACTTGGTAAACAGCATTACAGCTGTTGTTTATACAACATTGTTGTCATTCTAGCTTAGGCCACACCAAGTAAATTTTATGGATGACGTCCACGCGCACATTGATTTTGGCCCGTTCCTAGAAAAAAGAAATTCCGCTTTCTGTAACCATGGAGGTAGAAAATTTCTACCTCCATGCTGTAACTATGACCAGAGTCATGACAGTGCCGCAAATCGTCAGATTGACGTGAAACCCGTAACGCGACAACAGGACAGGAGGACAACTGCTATTCCACCTGATTTATTGCTGTTTTGATGATGAATAAAAGACTTCTTGCTTGTTACACTGTGTCACCTCATTCAATTTGTGTCCTAACATTTGTTGTCTCTTAGTATATTTCTAATCTAGGCATCTTGTTTTTTAGGGCCCTTCTTTTTTTTTTTGCCCTCTTGCATTAGATTTAGGGTCTCCAAAGGACGTCATCCATAAAATTTACTTGGTGTGGCCTTACTGAGAAATTGGGATGCAACCAGTCAGGACAGCAAAGGGACCTCAATGTCATGTAGGGGTTTTCATATCTGTACCATTTTTAAAGGTCTGCGTATACCTCTATATCTGCATCAGTATAGCCGGTATAACCGCCCTTCGGCGTAACACACATTAAAGCTTCGCAGGTACGCAGCATGGTGGCTTCTGGCTACATTACAGCGAATGACTTGTTACAGCTAAACCTAGAACATCTAACTCTACCGAGACATGTTTGTGATGCAGGCTCTGTACTGTGATGTCCGTTACTATTTTTGACTAACTGTGGCATGGCAAATGCAGACACTATCATAACTTTTCTGTATCATAAAGACATTATCGTAAAGTTGGTGCTGCACTGGCCTATAATACTACTCTCCAAGCAGAGGTTGGTGGGGGTAGCAACAGAAAATAACGGGGCATATATAGAAAGGTAACAATCTTCCCCACTAACCTCTGCTTGGAGAGCATAATACAACTACAGCTGCACAGAAGGGAGTGTAATGTCAAGTCATTTAGACCCCGTTTAATTATTACGGTAACCAGAGTTACAACCGGTTGAAACCTGATAAATAATTAGTAGGGAGAACGGTTTTTATTTAGCAAATTTAATGGTTGATCTGATGAAGAAAATTTAACTGTTCTTCAACTCAAAAAGAGATTAACTCACCAGAGAGTTTCGACTGAATCTCTGTCTTCATCAGCTTAATGACAGTTTAACTTTCTTCATGTATTTTACCAACTCAGATGCAACAGCATCAGCAACAGCAGTGCTTTATGACGTATGAGGGAACAAAGTCATATTTTCCAGTGGAACTCCTTTCCTTGTCAAGTAGAAAGGACAGAATGAACACACCACAAGACAGTATTCTTGTTATATAATCACACCTTTAATGTTCACTATTAAATGTAACGTTCTTAATAGGCTCTACACCACCAATATATTTCTGAAACACTCTTGGAACACACTAGTCAATTCATAAGGCAATCTTGAACAGTTCAATAGTTTTGCACATCAACCTCAGAGCTCTTAGTATGAATATGACCACAATCATTAACACTCTGGTATATCACTATTGTCTACTTTTATAGGTCTGAAGTTTACGTAATTTCTTGATCAAAACAAAGATATTTACTACACCTATTTTCCAGCAAAGATAAACCACGCAGCAACTTCTGCTTGATAAAGCTAAATATGTCATGTGCCACATGTAAATTCTTAATTCCTTCATCTTCAGACTCTTCTGTCTCCCAGTACATCGTTTCTTCTAAACAACATCACTTCCTCTCTCACAGTCTTTTCTGCACCATTCCTCCATCCAACTCACACTTTTCCCTGCACTGACACAATCTCTCACAGTCCTGACTTCTCAAATATCATTTCTGACTTCAGTACCTTACTGAAGCCTCTGTTTTGTAAACTCACTCCTTTTCCCTTCTCTTCTATACTCTCTCCCTCTATCATTCACCACTGGCACACACATACTCGTCTGATCTCAGTCTACTTTGCACACTGAGCGGTAAGCTAGCCAATAAAATCAGTGTTTGGTTGTTTCATTTGGTCGATTAGAAATGCTCTGACTTTTAGTTGACTTTAAGAGTCCGTCTATGTCCACTCTGCGGCGAGCAGGGCCACGCCGTGCTCGTAGAAGCCGTGGTTTGCGCCCGAGCGGCTGCCGGCCGTCTGCAGGTCAACCGTAAAGAGCAGGTCGGCACGCGTCTGGTTCAGATACACCGGCAGGGTCACCTGGGGGGGGGGGGGGCAGACAAACACAACAGTTACTGTCAGACAGTTATACACTGTACAATAATGCTCAATTTCTACAACTACTAGTACTGGTCCAGATACACTGGCAAGGTCACCCGTGGGGGGGGGGGCAGACAGTTATACACTGTACAATAATCAATTTCTACTACTACTAGTACTAGGGGGGGGGGATGGGCAGATAATTAGAAACACAAATACGACAAAGTTCCTTGACTAGTTGAAAATTTGGGTACCGCAAGTCCAATTTCTTGTGTTGGAAATTGCAGTACAAACGTGTTGACTTTAAGATAATAAACACTAATACAATAATGGTCAATCTCTATAATCACAAATACATTGTACAACAATGCTGAATTCTGTAAACACAAGTGCATTGTACACTAATGCTACTTTTCCATTAACACTGTACAATAATGCTTAATTTCTACTACTAGTACTAAGTGTTACATGGTGTTAAAAAAGTTGATGAACTAGCACTTAACAGCTCAAAGTATTCTCAGGCTCTTAAGTCATAATCTTAAAAAAATACTTGCCAATGATGGTGACTTCTGGACATCTCCTTGGGCCCTGAGGAGGAAAACAAAGCAAAGTTAGCAGAGAAAGGCTAGAAATGTCCCAATACAACATCCTTCACCACACATAATTTACAATAAGATGTAAATTTTGTTTATTGAAAACCAAAACCCATTGCAGCCTCACGGCTGAATTGTGAGGTCTGTACACAAGTAGCAAACACGTTACAATCTTATCTCATTTCGAAAAATACGTTAACTTAACACTTAGTAATTTACAATAAAATAAGACTCCAGCAGCAGATGTGTTCTGGTATCTCTGGTAGAAGAACACGGTCTGCACATAAGTTTGACACACCATATTGCCGCACAGAACGGTACAAAAAATCGCCCATTCCTTACATTGTTGAGCTGTTAAACGCTAGCTAAATACAGTATCTTCCCTGCTTTTACTTAAGAGGGCATTGAGTGACTGAGTTTGGCTACCATTGACCTTTACCTCTACTTGTGTAAATAGGCATTATTATAGCTCTCTAGCGAATTTGTGTGATTATCTTGTAAATTATGTAATTTTTAAACCATTAGTATTGTTTAACGTCAATTTTATGAACTGTAAAAACAACTCAATTCCGACTGTCTTCTGCTAGTTGTTTGAATAAAGATTGATCATTGACTGTTCTGTACCTGATCCAGCGCAGGCATGTGATGGGCAGCTCGGTGGAGATGGTCTTACTCAGCTGCAGGGTGTTCTGCTTACACGTCGCTCCCTGCAGTTTCAGGCCTGGGAAACACAGGAAAAATATTTATCTCTTATCTTACGGCACCACAGGGCAAGGCAACTTCTTGTACTTACATTTTTACAGGTAGTGACACATATTTACCATCTGAAAGTATAAAATTGTAGAAAGATGCTATGCCTTTACAATCTTTGAGTCAAACTACCGATATGTGCCACTGAGTGCTGACATCTCAGGGCCTTAAGCTCAGATAGGTTCTGTGTATGATATGTGAGAGGTTGATTTTGTATATTAGCTGGGAGACTGATACGTCGCCTGTGGACTAACCTGTGACCAGGAATGTCTGACATCCCTCGGGATGTCCTTCCCACTGCCATCCGAGATGTGTGAGATGTGCGTGCACGTGTGTGTGTATGTGTGTGCGTGCACGTGCGTGCGTGTGTGTGTGCGCAGACTGACCTGTGACCATGAATGTCCCGCCGTCCCTCGGAATGTCTTTCCCACTGCCATCAGAGATGTGCACCTCCATGGCGAGTTCCTCCAGAGACCAGCTGTTGGCCTGAGACACGTACTGACGCGTTGCTGTGATAAACGCCTCAGGGACAAACAGGCCGCCCAGCCAGATCTGCTGGTTCTGGGGAGAAAAAGAACAAAACTTTATCTAAGAAGGCTTTCCTGTATCTAACAAAACTTTCCTGTATCTAACAAAACTTTCCTGTATCTATCAAATCTTTCCTGTATCTAACAAAACTTTCCTGTATCTAACAAAACTTTCCTGTATCTATCAAATCTTTCCTGTATCTAACAAAGCTTCGGGGACAAACAGGCCGCCCAGCCAGATCTGCTGGTTCTGGGGAGAAATAATTAAACTTTCCTGTATCTAACACATCTTTTTTTTAATGCAAACTCATCAGCAGCAGCAGCAAATGTGAAACATGTGAAACATTACATTGGCATGTACGCATGCCTTGTGACACATGCACACACTGACACACACACACACACTCCGAAACACATCCACGAGAAGCTACTACAGAAATGTCTCCTGTTGCAGAAGAAGTTACCTTGAGTTCCTTGGCGCCGCCCTGGGCCGTAGCTTGGGAGATCTTGTGCAGCTGCTTGATGCGCTGCCCGAAGTCGATCACCCACTGGATAACCGTCGTGCCGTCGGGAACCTTGTATCGGCGCCACGACTGTGGCAGCATCCCTGCAGAGCAATACAATAAGGTCAGGCTTCAGTCTCCGGTAACTAACCCTAACCTAAACACTAACCCCGACCCTGACCCTTCTCCAGCTGCACCAGCCACTGGATAACTGTTGTGCCGTCGGGAACCTTGTACCGGCGCCACGACTGCGGCAACGTGCCTGCAAAGCAATTGGGTTTGAGTCTGTATGCCAAACTCTACAGCACTTAGATCATAGAAACATGCTGTTAGTGCATTGTTGATTTTTCCTCTGCTAACTTGGGTTTGTACGCCAAACTCTGCAGCTCTTAGCTCATTGACTGTTCATGCAAATTGTTCTCATTTGACTTTTTCCTGCTGGTGATCCAGAAACCAAATTGCATCAAATTTTGTAATTTCAAACACCAATTGATCTTCTATCCGGGCTCCTGACTTGGGCTGCAGAACTGAGCCAACTACACTACCTTCTGCCAGAACACTGATAAGTTGTCTGTCTTCTTTGGTCTGCTTCTTCTTCCCCTCACAAACACCACCTGTATCTGTATAGCCGGTATAACCACCCTTTGGTGTACGAAAACCTGACGCTACCTTTAGCCAGGACGCTGATGAGCTCCCTGTCTTCGTTGGTCTGCTTCTTCTTCCCCTCGCACACCAGGACCACGTTCTCCAGGTTGGTCCGGACTTCCCTCAGCAGTCGGGCGCCGGCGTTCACCTACGGACGGGAAACACAAATGAAAACAGTTATCCAAGCAGCTGGATAGACTTTTAAACCTGCCACAAGACAGGGCACCGAGGTCTCATTGTTCTGGCTTGTAATCTGACAAGAGGGTACCCAGGTAAGAGAAATATTTTGAAGGCTATAATAATAATAAGAAGAATAAATGGTTTTTATTGTCCAAACAGTACCCGTGCAGTACAGCTGAATTGATGCAGGGTATTACATAATCAACACAAATCACAACAATCAAATAATACACATGATACACATACAATGTATTTGCTCCACAAATTTTTGTGGAACTGTCACAAGGGTCTATACGGCAGCCATTCGGTGCCAGGTGACCTCAATACGACTTTCCCAACCGAAGTTAGGTACCCATTCACACCTGGGTGGAGTGAGGAAAGTCGTGTAAAGTGCCTTTCCCAAGGGCACAACGTCGGGGCGCATGTTCAGACATGCCCTGGGTACGACTCGGAATCGAACCCGGGTCTCCCGGTTCATAGTCGAACGCTATAACCACTACACCAACCGACGCCACACCTATGCCAGACAGAAGCTTCTGGGATCTGTAGTGGTTTGAGTAATGGGCAGAAGTCAGTACCCCACCAAAATAGGCAAGTAAACATGTTAATAAGATTACAATTCTTACATGGTGTGCATCTTCCAACAGTGACCACTGCATCATATTGCTTCATTGTCATACATGACAGGTTTCCTTACCTCACGTTCAAAGAATCGGAACAGAGGGTCCTTGATGTTTTCTGCAGTCCGACGTAGGACAGACAAATTCTGGAGAAGTAAAAAAAATAAGTAAGTTAGTACATATATTGAAGCTATAAGCATATGAAGAAGCACTGATCAGATCAAATGCCCTCTCATTACAAAGAAGACATCAGAGATTTAAAACTTCCGGCAAATATTGGAATCCTCGAACACACTCACTATCTGGTTTAGTGTTGTTCTAAATTAAAGGGGTTGTACATGCTTGCACAGGCTTCTGAGGCTTGATGGTAGCCCGCCATTTGCCTCTATCATGTGGGCTCACACATACCTTAGGGATCTGGGAGAGCCAGTTGGACATACCTTAGGGATCTGGGATAGCCAGTTGGAGGTGGACATGAGCAGGGTTCGCATCCATGCCGGTCGCCCGTCGCCGCTGCTGGTGGCGCGCTTCCGGCTGCCGGCGCGAGGTCGGCCCTCCTCCATCACATCCTCATCATCCTCCAGCATCTGCATCCGCAGCAGGTTGATGATCATGTCAGCACCTGGAGGGAGAACACATCAGGGGTTAGACAAACACCAGGTGTTAGACACACACTGTGCATGCACATGCACACACAAACACACGCGCACACAAACATACTCACTCTCCATCTCTCTCTCTCTCTCTCTCTCATATACACTCTGGAAGTTAGATACACATTCTCTCTCTCTCTCAAACACATCCGCACACACACACACACACACAAACACACACACACAAACACACATACAAAGACACACACACCTACCCAGTGTAGTGAGCAGCACTTTCTCGGCGTTGTTGGGCAGGCCCAGCCAGGAGGGAGTCTGCATGTTGGGCAGCCCCTCTGACCACTGCAGGAACTGGTCACGATGGACCACACACGCGCACGCACACACACACACACACACAAACACACACACAAACATACACAGACACATACACCTACCCTGTGTTGTCAGCAGCACTTTCTCCGCATTGTTGGGCAGGCCCAGCCAGGAGGGAGTCTGCATGTCCGGCAGGCCCTCGGACCACTGCAGGAACTGGTCCCGATGGATGCCCTCCGGCATGATGATGTCCTTGTTGCCGTCCACCTTGAATGAATGAATGAATGATTTGAACGAATGATTTGATCATTTTGATTGGGTGTGTAAATCGTACATTGCAGTCATGGGCTGAATTGTGTACTTTTTACACTGTTAAGTCTAAACTGTTGACATTAGGCACTTAAACGATCAGCGCTAATCTTGTCGTTCCCATTTAACAATAAATATATTTTGAAAACACCAGAAATTTGTTTATTTGTTTATTAGAATTCACCACAAGTACAAACATACAAGTGGAAGGGAGGACAAAACAGGTGTATTGACACCTTTACAAGTTGTCCTCCCAAAAAGAAATGGTACCTTAAAACAGGTAGGTTGTAAGACGGATATGTTGTAGTAGCTCAAACTAGTAAGTTAAGTGACAAGGTAGATAAATATTCTATACAAACCTTGCTGACCAGCTGGAAGTCCCGCTCGAAGCTGTGTGCCGTGAACAGCTTGTCCAGGAAGGCGTTCAGCAGACGCTGGGGGGGGGGACAGCAGGAGAAAACTGTCAGGAAGGCTGCAGGGGTGCTGCTTTCACTGCACACAAATGTATCTTCACAAATGTACAAAAACATAGCATTGTCCCTACACTTTCTTTATTGACAATTATATGTACAACAACAATTCACGGTGTAGCACTAGGCAGCAAATTTAGCAGATGTTGTGTTCCACACATTGCAAAACATATTCTAATACTAGTAATACATTGATATTACAAGAACTTAGTGTTGACTGTGCCCATGATAATGTGAATAGATCCAAAGATTCATCATTGCATATTTCTATGCATGCTGTAAGATCATCTCTTAAATTTTATAACATAGCCAACCAAGTTGACATGGAAGTGTCATGCACACCTGATCAAAATCGTTGTCCACGCGGCCTCCGTAGATAGCCTGGGACAGCAGGATCCTCAGGGCGTCCCACGGCACCTTGTCTGGCGGCAGGTTAGCACGACCCTGGCAGGGGGGAAATAAACTTACAGTCATCGTCATGAAAACATAAACTCATAGTCATCATCACAGAGCACACAGCTATCAAACAGCCAACAAGTGTTAAACCTTAGTGTTAAACCTTGTCTGGGGGCAGGTTAGCACGACCCTGGCAGGGGGAAAATAAACTCACAGTCATCATCACAAAAAATAATCTCCTAGTCATCATCACAGAGCACACAACTATCAAACAACTAACAAGTATCTTAGTGTTATCAAAAACCTTGTCTGGGGGCAGGTTAGCACGACCCTGGCAGGGGGGAAATAAACTAACAGTCATCGTCACAAAACATAAACTCATAGTCATCGTCACAGAGCACACAACTATCAAACAGCCAACAAGTGTTAAACCTTAGTGTTAAACCTTGTCTGGGGGCAGGTTAGCGCGGCCCTGGCGGGGGGGAAATAAACTTATAGTCATCATCACAAAAAATAACCTCCTAGTCATCATCACGGAGCACACAACTATCAAACAACTAACAAGTATCTTAGTGTTAAACCTTGTCTGGGGGCAGGTTAGCACGACCCTGGCAGGGGGAAATAAACTAACAGTTATCGTCACAGAGCACACAGCTATCAATCAAATGCAAGTATTCTAGTCTTATCAAAAGCTGTGGAAAACAGGCATCAGGCTCAGGCATGGTTATGTATAGTGTATCCAGAACCATGACTGGGGCAAATTTACATTCTTGGATGTGCAGAGACTATCCAGAACCATGCCTTGATCCTAACGCTAAACCATTCAGGCATAGAACTAGATAACCACGGTTCTAGATATACTATGCTGAACCGTGCCTGATCCTAACCCTGACCCATTCAGGCATAGAACTAGATAGGCACGGTTCTGGATACGATATGACTAGATAGGCATAGTTATGGATATGATAGAACTAGACAGGCACGGTTCTGGATACAACAGAACTATACAGTTACGGCTCTGGATAAGAAATACCCACCTTTGCAGCCATCTCGATCCAGGTGTCGAGCGTGTCGCAGGAGCATCGCAGGTCCGACTCGTTGAACTCGTAGCACTTGGACCAACCGAGGGGGGCGTAGCGCAGCCTCTCCTGCACCACGGCGTGGAACCAGGCCAGCAGGAAGTACAGACGGGCTCGCTCACCCGGCGCCTGCATGGGGGGGGGGAACGTTAGTCTTAACTACAACATTAAACTTAGACAGTCAACACTCGGCCATTTAGAGCCAACTACTTTACAACAGCGTGGAACCAGGCTAGCAGGAAATACAGACGCTCTCGCTCACCCGGCACTTGGGGGGGGGCAGAAATATTACTTTAAACTCAGGTTTAATATAACATTAAACTTAGTCATTAAACAGTCAAAAACCCATTGTATTTGTAAAAGTGGTGCTATGGCCTTTTTGCGGCCGAGAAGGCAGTGGGTTGTTTATCCACAACTTTGTCTAGGGCACAACATTGGAGGGTGCATCCCTCGCCCAAATGAAGTCAGGTACCCATTTTACACCTGGTTGGAGTGAGGAAAGCTGTATAAAATGCCTTTCCCAAGGACACAACGTCTAGCCAGGAATGCCAGGGATTGAAAGTGTGCTCACCTTGCACATGCGTGCGGCAGGAATGGTGCTGAATGTTCCCAGCAGGTTGGCTTTCACGCCGGGCGGCGGCTCAAACACAAACACTCGCCCGGCTCTCAGCAGATTCACCGGCACCTGGGGGGGACAGACAACACAAAACTTAAAATCTGGAACACAATATTATCTACACCTTCACAAGCCTCACTGGGTCAGTCTACTGAGGAAGACCAGAGTGACTGGTCGAAAGCTCTAGGTGAGAGAATTTTTTGTGTTGGAACAAAAGTTTTAACTTTAAACATTATCTATACCTGTAGTGGTATAACTGCATGGGACCTGAGGACAACAAAAAACACAAAACTTGGCAAGGGAGAGACAAAAATCATAGAACTTTGATGCTATGGTGGTACAATTGTCCATGAGCATGTTACATGTAGATTCAGTCTAAATTTTTTTAAGTCTTCACTCACCTTGGGGTTGATTTCCATGGTGAGGAAGAGTCGGAAGTCTCGGTGAGGCGTGAGGGAGTGGAGCTTCTTCTCCAGCTGCACCAGCCACTGGGGGGCCAGGTGGACGTTCTTCAGCAGAACCCACCTGTCAAACACACACACGGTCAGGCTTCAGTCTCAGGTAACTATCTTCTCTTGGCTTGGCTTCGTGTCCGAAAATTTCAGGGGCCCTTCCCTCTCCTGCTGCACGCCCGCTGGTGGCTAATAGATAACTATAGTAACTAGATAACTAACCCTAACCCCAACCCCAACCCCAACCCTATGCCTTCTCCAGCTGCACCAGCCACTGGGGGGCCAGGGGGACGTTCTTCAGCAGAACCCACCTGTCAAACACACACACACACGGTCAGGCTTCAGTCTCCTTCTAGAGCAAATCTTTTTGTCAATTTTCCACAACTCTCTGGTCTTGAGAGAACACGAGACTAGATTGAAACTTGTATGTAGATGTAGAGTAGATGTGCTGGCCTCCCTTGTCTTTATCTATTTTATATCAACAAACAAAAACAGAACAGCACCTTCCAGACTTGGTTGCTGTGTTGATGGCCTTGTCTGCCAGGCTGAACCCTTCCGCGGACCCGATGGCGATGGGAGTCAGGCCCTTGCCCAGCTCGGCCGCCACATCCTCCACATGTCCGCTCGCGTCGTAGCCGGGGACGGAGCACAGCAGCAGAGGCGTGCTGGACTTGATCTGTAACACGAGTTACACAACTGTCAGGAAACATCAAAGATACTCAGTAGACATGCAACTGTTGCCTTACCTCCACATCAAAACTTGTTACACATTGATAGGGAGATACAATGGTTACCAGCCCAGAAAAGAACAAGAAACAGTGACTGTCATGCCAGGAATGATTTGTTCAAAAACTTGTATTTTCCAAGAACTATCTTAGAGTGGAACTCATTGCCACCAAACACAGTTGGGGGCCTTGGGGCATTATCATTAGAAAGCTTTAAACAACTCCTGCAATTAAATGTGCAAAGATTGGGTGTAACAAGTCGTTCAGTGTGATATAGCTAGCTGCCTCTGCGCTGAATGCCTGCGAAGCTGGTGTGTTAGGCCAAACAGCCGTTACAGTAATATACTGGCTATACTGATACAGATGAACAGCCATCTGGTGCCTTAACTCCGCACCATGTTACATAATTATGTGTTGGTTATATACATGTACCCACCTGAAGGCTGTTGCCTTACCTCATTCTCCACTGTCCCAGCCAGGTCCAGCTCCTGCTCGGCACAGTGCATGAAGGCGTCTCCCATCACCGTCTGCACAAACCTGTGCGTGATGGCGTTCAGTCGGTCCGGACGGAAGGCCTGGATCACCAGCAGGCGCTGCATGTCACGCCCCGTCTTAGCTGTGAACACAATCATCACATTTTAGTAGCGGCCTGTCTTAGCTGTGAACACAGCATGTTTTAGTAACTGTTTATGTCAATAGTTCTCGCTATTTTAGTTGGCCCGGAGGGAAGGCCTGGATCACCAGCAGGCGCTGCATGTCACGCCCCGTCTTAGCTGGCAAACAGAGAAACAACAATTTGTTTTATTTGTGTCCATAATCACAAATCTGGCTGGTACATGGTACAGTCCCAGTCCCGAAGAAAAGTTTTATAGTCTTAGGTGATGTCATTGTGATGTTCAGAAGAGAAGCGAATCCGGAGAAAAGAACCTGAGTCAGCTTACAGATGTGCCCTATGTGGCCACGAGACATGTGACTCTCATATAACCATAGCCGAAGCTGTAGGGCTGATATGATGTGATATCTAATAGGATTTTACTTTGGTCAATATTGACTGAAGGAGACCATATATTCATTGCCTATGTAGATATCTGGTTGATTAAACATCTTCAGACTAAACTTCTGCAGACTTACTGAGCTTGTCGTCATCAGCCCAAAGCATAGCCAAAGCTTTAGGGCTGTTATCAATCAGGATTTTACCACAATCACTTTGCCTGAGAAGGCCCCACATTCACACTGCTTACATCAGGATCTGGTTTATCAAACGCGGTACTCCTGAATGTCTTAAGACTTACTGAGCTTGTCGTCATCAGCCCAGAGCACAGGAACGTCAACCTCCGGAGTCACGGACTCCACCCATGAGGAGAAACCATCCTCAGCCTGCACCCGCACGGCCAGGTTACTGAAGGACGGGAGGTGGGTCAGCCTCATCATGCTCTCCAGCTGTGGGGGAACAGGTGTACAGGTGTGAGCATCTCTCAGGTACAGGGTTAGGGCACAGGTACAGGTAAACTGGCCTGGACTCGCACGGCCAGGTTACTGAAGGACTTCTTCCTATTTAGTGTTACCTGAGTGTGAAATACCAAATAGAAAATTTTGTACCAAGTACAAAATTCGCTGTCTCTTAAAGCCCTAAACTCTTCTGTGGCCCCTCAATGTTCAGAGATCTGTCTGAGACAGGGACACTAACTAACAATCCGGTCCTAATGTAACTGTATACCGTTCTGGATAGAATCTGATATCTCTCCCCTAACCTGTTCTGTGGCGAGCCCCTCGACCATGGGCAGCTCGTGGCTCTTCACGACGGTCTCCTTCCCGCGCAGAAGATGCTGGAACTCTGCGTCGTACTCCCTCGGCAGTACTACTACTACACTACTACATTACTACTACTACTACTACACTACTACATTACTACCACTAACTGACCTGTTCTGTGGCCAGCCCCTCGACCATGGGCAGCTCGTGGCTCTTCACCACGGTCTCCTTCCCGCGCAGCTGATGCTGGAACTCTGCATCGCACTCCCTCGGCAGTACTACTACTACACTACTACATTACTACTACTACTACACTACACTACTACTACTGCTGACCTGTTCTGTGGCCAGCCCCTCGACCATGGGCAGCTCGTGGCTCTTCACGACGGTCTCCTTCCCCCGCAGAAGATGCTGGAACTCTGCGTCGTACTCAGTCGGTTCGTCCATCACGCCCTTCAGGAAGATCCGCACCAGCAGCACCGCGAAGGTGATCCTGTCCTTAAACAGCATGCCCCGGGCAACGCGCTTAAACGACTCCTGTGGGAGGGACAAAGGAAGGAGTTATACTTAAGGTGTACTATGTGTGTGTACTTTATTATGCACACCAAGGCACCAGTGAAGGTGATTCGGTCCTTGAACAGCATGCCTAGGGCAACACGCTTGAAGGATTCCTGAGTTATACTTGAGTACAATGACACACATGTAGTTTTCTTAGCCTTCAGGCAACACATGTACAGTGCAAGATGGATAATACAACAACAGGAGGTAAGTAGCTCTAACAACTTGCAAGTCCTTCTGGTTGCTCTGAGAGGTTCTATAATGCCAGAAACTGACCTGGAAGAGGTCCTTGATGATGACGTTGAGGCGAGCCATGTAGTCCGTCACCCCGTTGAGGTGCGAGTTCTCGTACAGGACGGCGTGGTAAATGTCCAGGAAGAACTGCAGAGAGTACTGGTACAGGAAATGGATCTGCATGGGGGGAAAAAACAAAAAAATCTATCTTATTATATCACTGGGAAGTAAAGTTGGCAAAACCTCCTTGGACAGACTGTCCTCTTCAGATGGCATGGTCTCATGTGGCCTGCACAGCAACAAGTTATCTGGTTTTACATGATTGTACAATCACGATGTTCTGCCATATACATGTGTGGTACACAGAACACTGAGGAAAGATAAGAACGACGCCAGGGTGCAGACAATGGTGAAGTAAATGCTGCTACAGGCTGCTGCCAGTGGATGGTAGGGTTAGTGTTAGTGTATACACAGTGTTAGTAGTTGTAGACAGTACAAACCTGGTGAGTGGAGTCCATAGTGAAGTAAATGCTGCTGCAGGCGGCTGCCAGTGGATGGTAGGGTTAGGGTTAGTGTTAGTGACTGTATAGACAGTGTTAGTAGTTGTAGACAGTACAAACCTGGTGAGTAGAGTCCATAGTGAAGTAGATGCTGCTGCAGGCGGCTGCCAGTGGATGGTACTGCTGAGAGACCCGCTCCACCTCGGCCATCACAGCGTCCGTCTCCTCCACCTTCCTGGTGATCTCCGCAGCCTCCTTCTTCAGCGTCTCCAGGTGCGTGATGATGCGGTCGTCGTCCAGGATCTTCCCCTTCACGTCGTTCAGCGCCTGCAGCAGGGACTTCTCCAGCTGCCGCAGACGCAGGTGGAACTCACCTGGGAGAACACAAGGGTTAATCAAGAGTCCACGCGTGTGTGTGTGTGTGTGCGCGCACGTGAGTAAGCATGTGTGTGTGTGTGTGCACGTGAGTAAGCATGTGTGTGACGTGTTCAGCGCCTGCAGCAGGGACTTCTCCAGCTGTCGCAGACGCAGGTGGAACTCACCTGGGCGGGGGGAGGGAAGCATTTTTCACAGTCTCTCACAAGTCCGTGTGTGTGTGTGTGTGTGCACATGTGTGAGTTTGTGTATGTGTGAGCCCATGTGTGTGCAGTGTGCATGTTTGAGTCTGTGTGTGTGGCGCCTGCAGCAGGGACTTCTCCAGCTGGCGCAGACGCAGGTGGAACTCACCTAGGGAGCAGGAGGAGGAAGGGTTTGTCACATTCTCTCACAAGTCGATGTGTGTGTGTGAACACGATAAGTTGAGAAGGCTTTGTTGTATTGTCTTGATATTTGGTAGGTGGGTAGATCAGCTTGTTATCAGTGTTGCCCACCTTGCCCACTAGTTCTGTGTTACAGAGAGAGTATATTGTTCTCACCTTGCAGTTTCAGCAGGTCGGACCTCTTCTCGTCCACGTCTGGCCGTTCCGCCTTGAGCACCTCGTTGAGGCACTGGCTCTGCAGGCTGCTGCGTGTGACGGTGAAGTTGACGAAGGTGACGCGTGAGCAGATGTCTGGCGGGAACTCGACGGTCGGGTCGCGCGTGGACAGGAAGATGGTGAAGGAGGGCGACAGGTCAATGTCCTGGTCGCCCAGGGTGATGAGGACACGCCCGCCCGTCCGACGCACCTGGGGAATTTCATGTAATTCAAATTTCAACCAAGAATTGAGGTATTCAAAAACTTTTATTTCCCCAGAACTATCGTACACTGGAACTCATTGCCACGAAGCACAGCTGGGGCATCATCACTAGAAAGCTTTAAACAACTCCTGCAATCAAATGTGCAAAGATTGAGTGAAACAAGCCGTTCGGTGTGATATAGCTAGCTGCCGCCGCGCCGCGTACCTGCGAAGCTGGTGTGTTACGCCGAAAGGCGGTTATACCGGCTATACAGATACAGAAGCTGGTGTGTTACGCCGAAGGGCGGTTATACCGGCTACACAGATACAGATGTGCGTTTTGATTTATTGTTCAAACTGAGATCAAAGGGATACTTGTCTGCATACAACGAGGGCTTAGTTCCGGCATACCGTTTAATCTCATTTAATGAAAGGTCCATAAATGGCCAATTATATTTCAAAATAGCCAATTATACTTCAAAATATATCAAAGACCACCTTCTAGCATCTAAGCTAGCAATAAATTCCTCATTCAATGTGATCAGCAAATACGATCAAAGCCTTGTAGCTGCAACCTGGGTTACGCACAATTTTTTAGACAGAACAACAGACGTTTGAATACTGCGTATACGGCGAAGCCCTGACGGGGAGTTTATAAGAAGCTCAAGTTTGACTGTACGCTTAAACATATATTAAAGAAGAGGAAGAAATTGAGCAAAACAATATGTTTTCCTTCTGCAAAGGTTAACATAATAAAGCTGAATCTGAATATGTTTGTATTTTACAATGTATGTGAGAAAACTCCAGGAAGAGTTTAGTGGTTGTATTGAGGTTCCTTAAATAAACAAACAAACAAACAAACAAACAAACAGACCTCGCGGTTGAGTACGGGGTTGAGGATGGGGTCGTAGCTCTCCACGTCCTGCACGAGCAGCGGGTTGCCGAAGCGCAGCGCCGACTCCAGGTTCTTCCTGAAGGCATCGTCCAGGAAGCTGGTCTTGGTGATGGTCCTCTCACGGTACTCGTTCAGCACGAACGCCGTGGCCTGGAGTGGGATTAAAGTTTGTATTTATTTGATTTGAGTAACATGCGACGTGCAGCTTATAAGGATAATAATTATAGTACACTTGTCTACCAGGAAGCTGGTCTTGGTGATGGTCCTCTCATGGTACTCGTTCATCACAAACATACGTACAGACACCTACAGATACTTTTTCCCCCGTACTATCCCACAGTGGAACTCCTTACCTGGCCCGGTAGTTAATGGCTCCCAATGTTTTCCGGGCCGGGCTGGTGGCCTGCTCGCCTCCTCTCCCCCACGGCACCCCTCGCAGGGTTATTTGGGGATAACCAGGAAGAAGAAGTTATTATATATATAATGGTACCCTACCTGTCCGGACGGGTCGATGATGAGCGGGTAGCGGTTGAAGCGCTTCAGCATGATGGCGTTCTCCGTGCAGAGGTCATCGGCCGGAAGGGCGTTGGCCTGCCAGCGCAGCCGCTCGTCCGCATTGGAGAGGTACTCCACCCGCGCGATGTCCGGACGGAACTTCACGTTGGCCTGGTGGCAGGAGAGATTTTTTTAAAACTTAGTGAGCGCCACGTAACACGGCCGTTAGGCCATTTAAGGTTGGTTAACCACCTGAATGGTATCACCTGAATGGCATTACCACCTGAATGGTATTACCACTCACCTGGCTTACGGGTTACCGAGAAGAACTGTAACAGCAACTCTTTAGCTACTTCTCCCTGAGTCAGAAACATCAGGATTGAGACCAGTCCAATTTCTCACAAGTAGTGAGGACTAACTGACCCAATAGGAGAAGCAGGGGTTGCGAGGCTCGTCGGTTAAATTCCCTACCCCACATCTGTGTTTAGAGTTAAAACTTAAGATCCAACACAAAAACTTCCCTCACTTAGAGCTTTTGACCAGTCACTCTGGTCTTCCTCAGTAGACTGACCCAGTGAGGCCTGTGTTGGATCTTAAGTTTTAACTCTAAACATGTAACTACCAACACAGATGAACTTTTATTATAGTAAAAGATTGTTTTGTTGGTATGATTCATTATGACAAAAAGGCTACACGTTCTGTCCAACACTAAGTAAGTTGGGACTTACCAACATTTTTAGCTAACTCCGGCAGCCTTGTTCACGGAATGGACCTGTCTACTGCAGCGATTATTAGTTGAAAATTGATAGGAGGGGTATTCTACCTTCAATACATTATCATAGTTTCGAAAAGAACCAAAAGAATAAAAACACAGAAGATTTACAGCAATGTGGGGTCGTGTGGCGCAACGGCAGAACCAAAAGGTCCCGGGTTCGAGTCCTGACATACCACCGATCTTGTGCCCTTGGGAAAGGCACTTAATACCACTTTCCCCACTTCACTTAAGTGAAAATGAGTACTGTCTGTCCTGTATTTGTTTCCATGTGTGGGACACAACACCAGTAAAAGCTGCCTTTGTCCCACATGTATTGTACTGTTGTAATTTCAATGAAATAAATCAAATCAACTTGACGGACCTGCTGGAGATGGTGAGACCAGAGTTGAACAGGCTCTGCTATGTTATATAATGTATCATCATGACATTGTGTATTATGTGATTGTAAACCCTGCATTAATTCAGTGCTACAAAAGGCTGCAATTGCACGGGTAATGTCTGACCAATAAACCATGTATTACCTGCTGGAGGTGGTGTGACCAGGAGTTGAAGAGGCTCTGGCGCATGTGCTGGTCGAAGTAGCCGGCGTACGCCAGGAAGGCGGCGGACAGCAGGCAGTCGCCCACGATCGTCGCCATCTGGTTCTTAAAGGACACGCTGCCGGCCTCCCAGCGCTCCCGCTCCATGCCCAGGCTCCGGAGCAGGTCTGTGGCTCTCGTCACCTGGGAGAAAGGAAGGGTTTATTCTGGTTAAAATCACTCACAGCCATTTTGCTGGATTGTGGATTTCGTAACAATACTTAGTACTTTGTAAAAGACAATGGTGCATTTACATTGGTGAAGGTTAGACATCCAGGTAGTAAGATATGCCAAAACAGTTACTGAAGCAACTGGATATGATTTTGGAAATGGTCAGACCAAGGCATAATGTCCTTGGTCAGACGTTTCAGGTACATGTAGCATCCACTACGTTTTGTGAGTGACACTGGAGAGTTGTCAGAAAAGCAGGTTTCTAAGTATTGATTGATATGCAAACAAGTGAAGACAATATTTTTGGAAAGTCCAAAAGGAAACCAAGTTTGTCCAAAGTTTGGACAAGTCAAGACAAGGACGATGCAAAACAGCCTAGTAGCTCCTGTTGTTTTAGAACAGGCGCTAAAGTGTTGTCTTTTCTCGGGACTCACCTTCTCCTCCACAGCGAGCAGACTGGCCTTGATGGCCTCCGCCTGGCTGATCAGCACGGCGTACTCCTCCTTGTACCTGGCGATGCTCTTCTCCAGCTCCTGCACCAGGCGGTTCATCTCCTCTCCCTCCATCTTGTTCCTGTCGGCTTCTTCCTCCAGCGAACGCAGCTCCTGCCGCAGAGGGTCCACGCGCTGCAGCATGTCTGCGTAGTTCACCTGACAAAACACACAAACAAACAAACATCAGCAACACCTGACAAAACAAACGCACAAACATCAGCAACATGTCAACTCCTGTCGCAGGGGGTCCACACGCTGCAGCATGTCTGCGTAGTTCACCTGCAGTACAAAACATCAGTACTGTTACATGTCTCAATAGTTCATGCGCTGCAGCATGTCTGCGTAGTTCACCTGCGGAACAAAACATAAAACGAACGAACAAATATACTGATAGTACTGGGCAAGAGACTACAAAATGATTGATTCTTCACAGTAACTGTTTCAGCCACATTATTCATCCAGTGTGCTTGAATTGGAGCTCAAAATCCATTTCTAGAAGAACTTTACCATCCTGTTTTGTGCAGTTTAAGTAATAGAATGCTCGAGACTGCCAAATGTTTCTACTAGGTAAGGAACAGTCCCCTAGTTTTAACATGATTTGCTTCCCATCTATCTAAAGTACCTGGCTATCTTTGCTCAAATACAAGTCATGGTAGTGAACTTGACCTGGTACCGTACCTGTGCGATCGCCCACTTGACCATGGGCCCGCAGGCCTTGCTGGCCCTGTCGACCGTCTCGAAGTTGAACTTGGGCTCAGACAGGTACTTGCTCACCATGGTCTCACGGATGTTGTCTGTGATGTCGTCAGTCTGGGGGAAACAACAGAAAGATGATGAATCCTAAAACCGTACAGTTACAACAAAAGTTAGTAAGAAGGAGTAATCAAAACTTAGGACAGATGTAAACCTGTTGGTACCGTTCACTGGTGTCACATGCGAAATGTATGTCGTGGGATTGCCGTACAATTGCAAGCAGAAAGCATTCTTGTGATAGTCGAAGATATGTCCAGCAAAATTCAACTATCTTGTTGTGGAAAGGGCTGTCCTAAATCCTTGTTGCTTGTTCGTTCTGTTACTGTCTGCTTGAAAATTCTACGACAACAAAACTGTTGCAGAACACAGATCCTGCTGAAGGAGGAAAAATTGCACCGTTCCGACTGACCTGGAAGTTGACAACGGTACTGACCTGGAAGTTGACAATGGTACTGACCTGGAAGTTGACAACGGTACTGACCTGGAAGTTGACAACGGTACTGACCTGGAAGTTGACAACGGTACTGACCTGGAAGTTAACGATGGTACTGACCTGGAAGTTGACAACGGTACTGACCTGGAAGTTAACGATGGTACTGACCTGGAAGTTGACGATGGTACTGATGAAGTTGTCCCTGATGACGATGCCACGGATGGCCTTCCAGTCCGAGGTGGGCTCCCCCATCAGGAGGCAGATGGACTCCAGGGCCATCTTCACCGCAGCAGGCGGGTTCACCATGGAACGCACCTGTCAGGCACAGATACAAACTCATCAACAGTTTATATCGTACTGCTTTCAAGGCTGAATTTACAGCTCTGTATTCATCAGTGATTGTGCAGAATTTGTTTTGAAATATATGATGCACAACACAACCAATTTCCCGTTGGAACCACATGTATATCGTGTTGTAGCAATCTGACTATATCGTGTTGTAGCAATCTGACTAAACCCTTTTCTCTACATTCCAAAAGGTTACAAGAGAATGCTGCCTAATACTAAAGATACACAGGCAATGGCTACAGACAATATACCATGAGCTAACACATGATAATATTATGAATACAAACTGAGTATACTCAACCTCGGGCAAAGTGTTGCAACATAGGCCATTGTAATAGAGGATATTGTCTGATCAAAGTTACAACATTCTGTAGGCCATTGGTCTGATATTACCAACCCTTTACTGACTAGGCACACACAGTGTCATGTACAGACAGCTCTCCTGTCCTACTGACAGCTCTCCTGTCCTACTGACAGCTGTCCTGTCCTACTGACAGCTCTCCTGTCCTACTGACAGCTATCCTGTCCTACTGACAGCTATCCTGTCCTACTGACAGCTGTCCTGTCCTACAGACAGCTGTCCTGTCCTACTGACAGCTGTCCTGTCCTACTGACAGCTGTCCTGTCCTTCCGACAGCTATCCTGTCCTACAGACAGCTATCCTGTCCTACTGACAGCTATCCTGTCCTACAGACAGCTATCCTGTCCTACTGACCTCCACCAGATGCTGTTTCTTGATGCCCTTGACAGCTTGCTGGGCCTCGATGACAGCAGGCTCGACCTTGGCAAGGTCCTCCATCACGTACGCACGTTTGACCTTGATCTGTTCTAGCTGTGCCTTCAGCTTCTCCTGGATCTCCATGGACATCACCTGTGCAGTGAACAAAGTGTCAAGTGTTATACATCTATATCTGATTCAGTAAACATCAACCATAAACACCACCCATGCATGTGCAGGCATAAAAAAATCTCAACCATGGACATCACCTGTGCAGGCATCAAAAAATCTCAACCATGGACTTCACCTGTGCAGGCATAAAAAAATCTCAACCATGGACATCACATGACAGGACCTATGCAGGCAGAGAAAAATTTCAACCAAACTGTTGACAGTATGTCCTTCTACAGTACGCATCAGAAATGGAGCTAAGTCAGTCCTGTCCCAGCCTCTTGTTGGTCCTTGACCATCTCCTTCAGCTTAGCGTTCAGGATAGCTAACAGTGTACACATCCTTTTGTTCCTTTGATCAACAAACTACAGCATGTCCTACTACAGTATGTATCAGAAATGGCTAGAAGTCAGTCATGTCAAACCTTCTTCCTCTCAGGCTCCTGCTGGTCCTTGACCACGGGATAACTGACAGTGTAATAACTATACATCCTTTTGTTGCTACAGTATGTAACTACACTACGCATCAGAAATGGAGCTAAGCCAGTCATAATTATCCCACCTTCTTCCTCTCAGCCTCCTGCTGGTCCTTCACCATCTCCTTCAGCTTGGCGTTGGCAGGTTGTTCTTCGCCTCCAGCTCCTGTTTCTTCACTGACAGACTCTTCCTCATCTCCTCCACCTGCTCCACGGTTTCCCGGATCTTAGACCAGACCCCACGTTCAGGTGGAGCTGCTGCTCCTCCAGGTCTGAACGTTTCTCGTTGTACAGTTTTACCTGCGAGAGGAGGGTAACAACATAAACAGGCCGTGAGTAAACTGTGCGATCTGCCATCAGGACCTGACAGGCCCACCACTTTCATCTTAGACAGACCCACGTTCAAGTGGAGCTGCTGCTCCTCAAGGTCCGGAACGCTTCTTGTTGTACAGTTTCACCTGTGGGAGGTTAGGATCACAAGACTGTACTACTTTTCAGCAACTTCTCAACTGATGCCCATTTAAGTAAACCCTCATAATAATCACCTTGCACACAACATCTGTGTTTATCAATGCTTCTGAATTAAGATCGAACTGAAAGTACTCTGTGTGATCTGCTACCTTATTGAGTTTTTAGATGCTTTTTTCATGTAATCTGTGTAGTAAATCCTTACAAGGTACTACACTTTACTTTTCTAGTTATCATTGCAATTGCTCACAAACAGGCTGAATAAAAGTTCTAAACAGGAACTATGTGGCTCTAAATGTCTTACTGAGGGACGACTGCATGTACCGGATGTCGGTTAGCTTGAGGAATGAATCCTCTCTACTATATACTAAACCCTTACATAGTGGTTGATGAAGTCGAGGTAGTGGCGCGGAGGTGATGGCCATGATGCGGGCGCCACGCTTGCTGAGCCTCTGGTTGGCCTGGTGCAGGGTCTGGTGCACGTACACAAACGCGTTGGCGATGATGTCACGATGCGTCGGCATCTCCGGCAGGCCCTCGAACGCCTGAGGGATGTACAACGGTGAAGATCAGACATCCAGGTCACAAGATATGCCATTGAAGAGTTTGAAAGAGTGTCCCTGGTTTTGCTGTTCCTCAACAGGGAGGGGGGATTATGGTACTTGAGACTTGGTGCTCTCAGCCCCAAGGGCAGACAAGGCTTAAGCTCATGTTCTGAAATAACAAGAGCTACTTGACTAATCTACATCATCCTTAACTTTTGGTTGCTTTTCGACTTCCAAAAATTTGTCTCCACACTTTTGCATATCAATCAATAATTCGTGCTTATAAACCTGACCTTGCTGACAACTCTCCAATGTCAGTGACGAAACATAGTGGATGCTACCTGAAACGTCTGACCGTTTCCAAAACATATCCTGTTGCTTGAGTAACTGTCTGTAGGAGTACCTGTGGGATGTAGTCCGGCACCTTCCAGTCCGGCCGCTCCAGGTCCAGCTTACTGGTGAACTCCAGACCGACGTGGTACAGCGCTCCCTCCGACCAGTCTCCAAACCAGTTCAGCACACATCTGGGGAAGCAGGTCGAGTTAGAAATTTAAAATCCTACTGAGGACAGCAAATCTGTACTGATAACTGCATCAAGAGAGAGTTACTTTGTGTCAGCATCCAAAGTCTGTGACAAGCAAAGCCAGACTGCAGTAGACTGCACAAACATAAAGAGTAGAGAAGGTTGGTACTAGTATTGTGTGCCTGCCCTGACCTGTTGAAGAGCGCAGGCAAAGTATGTGTGTATGTGTGTGCCTGTGTGTGTGTGTGTGTGTGTTTGTGTGTTGTGTGTGTGACCTGTGTGTGTGTGTGTGTGATGTGGCAGCCTGACCTTTAGCCCCTGGGAGCTGGGGTTATGTGTGTGTGCATGTGTGTGTGTGCATGCATGTGTGTGTGTGCATGCATGTGTGTGTGCATGTGTGTGTGTGTGTGTGTGTGTGTGTGTGCCTGTGTGTGTGTGTGTACCCGTGTGTGTGTGTGTGTATTTAGGTGGTATGTGTGTGTGTGTGTGTGTGTCTGCCCTGACCTGTTGAAGAGTGCACAGGCGATGTTGCAGCCCGGTCCTTCAGCCCCTGGGAGCTGGGGTTATGTGTGTGTGTGTGTGTCATGTGTGTGTGTGTGTGTGTGTGTGCATGTGCATGTGTGTGTGTGTGCCCTGACCTGTTGAAGAGTGCAGGCGATGTTGCGGCCCGGTCCTTCAGGCCCTGGGAGCTGGGGTTCATG